AAAAAAAAAAAAAAAAAAGAAAACAAAGGAGAATTTTAAATAACTGTTTAATTTCCTAGTTTAGATAAACTAAACCAATGGAAGGAACACTTAGGAGAAGTACCCATGTAACAAAAATGGCAGTCTACAGTGAAATTTCATCCTTTACATAAAGACCCTGAAGAAAACTCTGTGACACAGGTAATCCAGTTAAAAATCACACCATTTCTAACATCCCCTTCCTCACTTTCGTGGGTCAAAACTGCCTAATTCAGTCAATGGAGAGTCTGCCCGCAACCACTGAGGGATCCCTGCTCTGAAATTGTGCAGCTAATCCTAGGAATTCTCACTGGCAAAAGGATCAGTGGACACATCTGAGCGCACCATACCAAGCATGTCTCTCCTCTCCTCCAGTGGCCCAACCACAACACATGTACATTCCAATGGCTAGGAAGCAGCATGCTAAATATTAGTCACATGCCTTCGAAGCATCTTTTTTACCTCCTACAGTGCTTTGGACAACCTGGGAGATTAATCATTATTTGCAGAATTGAAATGTGATTGTATGTACCAATCCTCCACAATAAATGTATGGCAAACTTATATTAACGAGAAAAGGTCGAAGACAAGAAAAACCCCTCTTGGAACACCAGTTGAGTTTATCTACATATACTACGATCACTTTAAGTTTCTTATGAAGCAAGGAATATATTTTTAATGCCTTTCTATCCTTATAGGATGTTTCAATTTCTTTGAGGTGAAAATAAAACAGTAAGGTCTGTTAACAGACCTGTGGCTAAGGGGGAAAAGAAACCCTGACAATGCTATGCTATGCTCAGAATGGCACAGCTAATATGGAATACTCACATAAGCAGTCTGCCAGAAAAATATTTCCTACCTATAATCCAATCATCCTATTATCTACATTCACACAAAAGAAAACCACATGCTAATACTAAATGATTCTCAGCATTCTTATCAGTCAGGCCTAGACCTTTAGGAATATGTTTAAAGTTTGCAGTTTATTTTGTAAAGAACGAAGTAATTACATTTTCCCACAAGCTAATTTAAGCATCTCCTTCCTTTAAGCAGGCATCTAAATACTTACTACTAGAATACATTCCAGGTGAAGTGTGATAAACATACAACCAAGCTGAATATCACTAAGATAAACAGATTAAAAACAATCACGCCACATTCATCCTCATAACCCCATATCATCTCCCTCCCAAAGCAAGGTCGCATTTTCCCATAGCTGGGAATGGACATCTTCAAGGTTTTTCAGATTCACAGTTCATTTTGTCAAGAGTTAAAAGTGCAATCAGGTCCAACTATAGGGAACAAAAGGTGGTAAAGCAGAACAACTGCAGTTGGTACCTGAGCAAAGTCTCTGTGTAGCCAGAGTATCATGACTTCCTTTCACCTTGAATGGTAAGGCTGATACAGTTGATTTATGCATGGGACAACTGTTTATGCATACATTTGCATAATTACTGTCAGTGTCTGACTACACCCCATGTGAGGCCTGATGTGTTTTGTATCCATTCCAGGCTGTAGAGCACGATCTACTGATCTACCTTCTTTCCTCCTCTATTTCTGAACTCAAGAGTAAACAGTGCAAGAAAGGCACATCCTGCCACTGCGGAAGCTATCATCCCTTCCAAAACATGTTGGCTCCCCTTCAATGCCTCATTTTTCCTACTTCTTTGTTTGGTCTCCTTTGCCCATTTCTGGTACTTAGAATTACAGCCAGTAAATAAAAGCCTGTCTGTTTCTTGCTAGGTTAATTTGCTTTAATATGGTTTTAAAAAAAGACCATGGCTTAAATAAGAAAAAGAGTAGGGAGGTATCAACAACAGGAAAGAAACCTCTTTTAAAAGAGCAGTACAATTCAAGCTCACTAAAGAATTGAAGAAATAAGCATTATGGGACTTCAAAACATCTTCCTATATTGCAAAAATCTACTTCACTATCAGGAACAGTTGCTAAATAAACTCCCACATTTTTAGACAAAGTATGCTAAATTTTTCATCTTAACATTGTTTGTGTGAAACTTAGGAACATGCAGAAAGAAGTGTTGAAATCCTGATATTAAATATTACCTGTGTAGTCTAAGAGGCTTAAGAGTACAAATACATTATAGAGTTAAAGATTAAAGCTTACTGAAAAATTTTAGATGTTAAGGAGAATACCAAACAAGGAGAAAATAGGCTAATAAAATAAAATAGGCTATTAATATACTACTTTTTGAATAAAAGAAAATATTTATATCCAACATGGACTTGAATATAAGAGGGATATCTGCAAAGAAAAAATGATTAATATTCACAAAAGTCATCACAGTGCAAAAGTTACTTCCAGCCAAGAGGTTAACAAGTAGAGATGGAGCAGGCCATGGGCTTCCGGACCCAATCCAGTGGTACATCCAACCTGCTGGCCTGGCCACTGTGCATTGCAAGCCTCATCTAGCTGACTCTGGGGCATAAGCATTAGAAAAAGTATGTGTTCAAAAGTACACAAGATTTGAAGAAGCAGGAAGATGGAAATTTGAACCCCACTTGGGCAATTTAGCAAGACCTCACTCAAAAAAAAAAAAATTGACAAAGAGATACAACACTTGTTAGCATGTGCCAAACCCTAAGGGTACAATTCTTAGACCTCAAAAAGAAAATTACAGATTTAGAGAATTTGTTCATAAACCAAGAGGGAGTCCCAAATAACAAAGAGCATTAAGTATTAACCAGCTCTTACTGACAAAATGGATAGAGTAAAATAATAATAATAATAATAATTATTATTATTATTATTATCATTATGCTCTAGAAGACTGAAAGATTCATATGAATTGACAAATGTGATTATGTGAATGTTCATCATTTTTTATTGGAAATTAAATATTCCCCAGCTGGTACTATCAGTGAAGTTTTATAGACAAGTCACAACTTTCATACTTGATTATAATCTATGGCATGATCTCTCTTTCAATAAAATTTAATCTGAACTACATAAGATTAGAGATATGCTAGCTTTACTTAAAAAACTTTAATATTTCACATAAGCCTGATGCAAAGTTCCTTACTAAAATATGGCCTTAATGGAAATGACAGCAATAATCTGGTCCAATGGAGACAAGAGGGACTGCCACAGAGGGCAGCTGCTAATTCTGACCAGCTGCTACCCCTAGGCCACTTGTGGGGTGGCTGACAGAGGACAGTAAGAGGGAGGCAGGTCAAAGGGCCCAGAAGCTGGCTGGCCCGCAGGGAAGATGGCAGCAGTGCCTGGACTCAGTGCCTTGGTGGATCAGGCCCATAGCACATAACCAGTCAGTATCATAATCTCTAAAATGAGATCTGGGTTCCTATTCTTGGTAGGGAAGAAAAGCAGTCATCATCTCATTAGAGAAACTGGTGAGAGGAGGCTCAAAATCCACATCCTGGTCATTCTTGTCTAGACCTAGCCACTGGGCTACAGCCCTCATCTGACATGAATCAGTATATAATCTCAGGGCATTCCTGCCTAACTTCTACTGTCAGTCTGTGAGACAAGAACTGGTAGATTTTCAGAGTTCACTGGTCTGCTTCTACTTCACGCTCTTGGGCATGCCCAAAGGCTTGTTTCTACACGTCATACCAAGTTCATTCAAGGGCAAGGTTAGTCTTTACCAGAATGTGAAGAAACAAACCAATTATGTGCAGATAAACCTCCAGGTGCTCAATTTGGCAAGGGGTAATTCATTACAAACCTGGGTTGTTTCCTTTTTCAAGCTAAGTGTTCCTCTTCTCACTCAATTGAACTCACAGGACTTGCTAATCTACCACTGTTTCATACCCAGATCTAGCATGGGAGCACCAATTTATCACCCTGGGAAATAGTTTTCTGACCAAAGCCCAGGGCCTGTAATCCACTTCTGGGTGAAACTGCTCTCCAGGAAGAGACTTGTACTTGCTGGACACTTGGCTCAAGTTTATATATATACCAGGCCAGTACTTCCCAGCCCTGGGTGCCATTTCACTTCTTTCTCCTTATTGAACAAAAATACTTTGGATATTATCTACATGCTTTACACCAATGGCTGTATTTGTTTTCGGTTCTTGCCAGTGTTTCAAAAAGCCTACTCTCCCAAGGGCATCACAGCTATGTGCCAGAGATCACCAGGCAGCCTGGGCATCTTATTCATCTGAACATGGACAAGCAAGTGTCACTATCCAAAGGGGGTCACCATCTTTCAGGGAAAGTTCTAGTGTAATAGAGAATATGCCACACTATTAGCACCTCCCTCCCCTCTGCTTGATTCTCATCCTAACTTCTCAGCAGGGTCACACATTTTGTTATAAGTCCTAATTATAGGAGTCCAGATGTTGTTCTAGGGTCCTATGCCATTCCTGCTAAACTCTGAAGAACAGTAGTAACTTCCAACTTTATGCCAGACTGTGGAAGAGCCCAAACACAGAAAGACATGGGTGAGAGAAGGGAGCTTGAAGGGTATTTAAAATGTAGCTCTTCAGTGGCTACAGGTAGAGAATGTAATGCAGTTACTTCATTTTATGGGTTACTTATACATCTCAGCTGAATTAAGATTTTTAATAATGCTATCCCAAGTTTCAAGAACTCTGAAGAGATTTTAAAATATAGTCATATAACAGTGTTTTGGTACAACATATCCTAAAACCACAGGGTAAAGAAATAAGAACTCCACATGAAACAAGGTTTCCTCCTCCCTGGGTA